CCTCAGCCTCACTGATAGAACTTCCAGACTGTACACCACCTCCCTTCAGAACTGTTTGCCCTACACCAGCTAGTCTAAAGCTGCCCCTGCCCCTAACTAAATGTCCCCTGTCCCTGCCCTCACCCCAACACAGTATCACAGCTAGGGCTGAATTTTCTTCCACTTTCTGGGTTTATCTTACTAATGTGTTCACTTGCTCACTGGAGCTTCTAGGTAAGTCAGTAAAACTTTGTAACCCAGGGACATTTGTAACCCAGGGACATTTTGTGTCCCCCAGCTAGAACCATAAGTTGCCTGAGGGCAAGCTTGCCCATCACCTGGAACAGTGCCTGCCCCATGAGAAGGCACTCAATTAATAGCTGTTGAATTGAATTGACCACAGAGCTACTTGACTAGTCAATAAAGAATGTTTATTGCTGCTGACTTGTTTTTGTCCTTTCTGCATCTTCCATCCCCTCCTGGAGTCCCAGCCATGCTGGCCCTGTCAGTCTTCTGCCCCAGCCTACAGCCCTCCTTTATAGTCCTCCTTCCCCCGCCCGCCATCTCAGAGCCGTCAGGGGCTAGAGATGGGCCAACACTCTCAGGCCTTGACCTGGTCTCTGAGCCCCAGTGACCAGCAGAACTGGCCTGTACTCTTGAAGCATCCCTTTCCAACCAGCCCCACCCCTTATAAAACCATTGCCCCTTGAACCATACACTCCCCAGTAGAGCTCTGCCAACATTTATAGAGGGCTTCCCACATGCTGGGCATGGGCTAGTCACGGACATACCAAATGCCTGTGTCCGCCTCCGAGAGTCCCTGCGCCTCCTGTGGCAAGTTGCCGAGCATGAGCAGAAGGAGAGAGGTGCACGGTCTAACCCAGGAAGGGCCTTGTCTCAGGCCTGGGCCCAGCCACTGTCTGCTCCACTCCCACTGCCCTCCACCTCTGCCTGGCATCATTCTGGGGCAGTTTCTCATCTGGAAACAGATGCTGTGGATGGAGTTGGGCATCAGCGCTAGTTCTCCATCCTCGCCCCCCTGCTTAGTTTAGTGTTCCTGGGAGAGGACCAGGATGAGGGCAAGAAAGGTCGAGAAGTTCCCCTGATCCACAGTTGCCACTTGGTCACCCAAGCCTGGGACCCATATCAGATGTGAAGGCTGGTTGTCGTTCTGGTAGGGACACATTGAGGTCTGGCAAGGGCACTGGAGGTCAGACTCTGAGGCAAGCAGAGCCCACAGGGAGCCTCAGCCTCTGTCAACTTGCTCTCAGGTTGCTGGGCTAGCATCACACTCCAGTTGT